AAAGCCGCCAGTCTGGACGCGATCCTCCGGAAAATAAGGTCTTGAAAGTAGGAATAAGAGATCCTCCGGAAAAGAGCTTATTTTCCGGAGGATCGCGTCCAGACTGGCGCTTTTCTCTGGCTTATCTACAAGTCGGAAAAAAGCGGCAGCCATGTTAATACAAATGCCGTGGGGGATATTTAAATCCCCCGCAGATTTGCCTATTCCAAAGTGCTACATTTGCATCCCTATTACGGAATAGAGGCCAATGTAGACACGGCCCTAGTGTAAACTAAGGATTTTTGCCCTGCCATATTACAAATGAAGAATTGAGGCAGAGAGAATATTTTTTTTCCCTCACACGACATAGTGACGCACTCAGATAGTACATTGCATAATGTTAGTTCTCAGATGCCTGAATATCTCTTCCCTGGGGCGGCAGGTTTGTATAATTTGTGGTGGTGCCCAGAATGGGTCTAGTCCCCCCCCCGCCTGCCCTGTAAGCCGATGTATATTTTATTAAAGAATGTAAAAATGGACTGGAAACTGTAAGCGTTTAACAGTTTCCCTGTATTGCTCCATCAGCTCCAGTGGTGCCTGCTGCCCCCCCACCCCCTCCCCCACCTCTGCTGTCCTGACTCCTGCCCTTCTCACTGCCCTCGGCCTTCCCGAGACCTGTCCCCTCCAGCAGCCTTTCTCTCCCCCCCTGTGCCCACTCCTCCAGTAGCCCCACTCTGACCATGTGAGCTACCCCTCCTCATCCCCTCTTCTAACACCTCCCTCTACACACCTGTCCTGCCTCTATGCCCACCCCCTCCCCCCCTCCCCCCTCTCTGCCCCCCATTCCCCTCATGCCCGTGTGCCCTCACACATGCCTTGCTCCATCCCCACCTTCCTCATGCCCACCCCTTCTTTCAAGCCTTCTCCCAGCACCTCCCCCTCCCCCCTTTAACTCCCAATGCCCTTACCCTCTGCTCTCGCAGCATCACCCTGCCCCCCTTCCACTGACATCTCCCCTCCTGCCCTTTTCCTCATTGTCTCCATTTGGCTGCCTGGCATTTGTCTCTCCTGCACCCTGTCCCTTGGTGCCTTCCTCTTTCTTCTCCTGACCTGCCCCCCTCCCCTCAGCACAGTACATTCCAGGAAATACCAAGGGGTAATGAGAACAATGATACAAGAGTGAAATAGACAGGATTTTGTGTGTGTGTGTGTGTGAGAGAGAGAGAGAGAGCGAGAGAGAGAGAGAGCACAGTTTGTGTGTATATGTAACAGAGTGAAATAGACAGGATTTTGTGTGTGTGTGTGTGTGAGAGAGAGAGAGAGAGCGAGAGAGAGAGAGAGCACAGTTTGTGTGTATATGTAACAGAGTGAAATAGACAGGATTTTGTGTGTGTGTGTGTGTGAGAGAGAGAGAGAGAGCGAGAGAGAGAGAGAGCACAGTTTGTGTGTATATGTAACAGAGTGAAATAGACAGGATTTTGTGTGTGTGTGTGTGTGAGAGAGAGAGAGAGAGCGAGAGAGAGAGAGAGCACAGTTTGTGTGTATATGTAACAGAGTGAAATAGACAGGATTTTGTGTGTGTGTGTATACGTACGCACTTGAGAGAGAGATTTAGACACGGGAGAGTGTGTGTGTGTGTGTCAGACAAGATAGTGTGTATGAGAGACAGTGAGAGAAAAGGGTGTGGGTGTGAAAGAGAGTGACAGGATAGTGTGTGTGTGTGCGTGTGTGTGTGTGAGAGAGGGAAACAGACACAGGGTAGTTTGTGTGAGAGTGTGAGCAAGAGAAACAAACAGAGTGTGTGTGGGGGGGGGTGTCACAGACAGGATAGTGTGTGTGAGAGAAAGCAAGAGAAAGGAGTGTGTGGGGGGGAGAGATGTGAGAGGAGAGAGTCTGCGTTGGGGGACAGTGTGTGTGTGGGGGGGGGGTCACAGACAGGACAGTGTGTGTGAGAGAAAGCAAGAGAAAGGAATGTGTGTGGGGGAGAGATGTGAGAGGAGAGAGTCTGCGTTGGGGGGCTGCTGAGGCGAGGAAATTTGACAGAGGTCAGAGCTGTCTCTTGAAGCCACTCGCTGACGGCTCTCCTGCTCTGTTCCTGACCGTCTCCCTTCCCCTCTCCTGCTCTGCAGAGATGGGGGGGGCAGGAGTGACATCGGCGCCCCCGAACGCCACTTTGCTCAGTGAACAGAGAGTCCCAGCAGCCCTGAGCTGCAGCAGGATGGAGAAACATGGGGGGAGAGGGTAAGTTGCAGCCTCTCCTACCCCACTGGCAGGCATTACCGGCATGTGAATCTCTCCTGTGGCCCATGGGCAACTGTGTCCTCCCCTCCTCTCTGCCACCCTCCCCCGAGCAGCGTTCAGTTGTGGTCCAACACTTTCTTTCAGTTGTGGAAGTTTCCCTTGCTTTGACTGTGGGTTGTCCTTCCTACTCCTTTGCTATGGCGCAATGGGAGCATGGGCTTTCCTGTGGTACCAGCTCTTCAGTAACGAGCTTCTCTTTTTCGTGAGGGAGGGATGGTTTAGAGCGCGCGGATGGCCAGGAGCATCTTTCAGAAATGCGCTTGGGTCGATGCATTAGCGACCACTGTGGCCGGGTGTCACGTTCGGCCTCCTTTTTTTTTATGTGAAAAGCTGAGCCCCCATAGAGCTGCCTGACAAATGGCTAAACGTGCCTTTGATATTTATTTAGCTATCCACGCGGTGGACATCTCGCTTCATTCGCAGTGGGCGCCAAGGTCACTTTTTTGTACAGTCAAAATGAAAAGAGGTATTTTGTCAGCATCCATTGAGTAAATGAATGAATTCTAAAAATCTCTCCATTACCAACATATTAATTGCTTTGGTTTCTAAGATATTAACCTTTCGAGCAGAGAGGAGATAAAGCCATGGCATTGACTGCAGTGTGTGGTGTTCTTCTACAATATTTTCTCCCAGTTATTTATTTAAGGATGAATACTGAGAATAACGAGGTTTTTTTAAAAAATATTGTTTGTATTACCATAGCATTTAGGAGCCCTGAGTATGTCCCATGACCCCATTATGCTAGGTGGTATACTTACACAGCACAAAAGGTTGAGTGTACAGTTTAAGTGAATTGTCGCTGAGTCTAGCCAGAGCAGACGATATTTGTGTTATGCAAAATGAGTCACGTTAGCAGAATTACTGAGTCAGAGTCACTGCTGCATCAACTTTGAGATCACTGTGATAAAGAGGTGGCAAAACAAAAACATCCTTCTTTTCAGAGAATTCACAGGAATTACCATCCTAGGCCAAAACAGTGACCCGTGTATTCTAGTTCTTTCCCCAACAGTTACCATTACCAAATGCTTCAGTGTGATAAACCTCATGATAGATAAATATAGAGCAACCTGCCCATGGGGAAAATCTCTTCCTAACCTCCATCAGTTAGGGTGCATCTACACTGCACCGTTATTTCGAAATAGATAACTAGCGTTATTTTGAAATAACAATGTGA